ATACTAATCAAGGTTAATCAGACCGCCCCCCCCTCACAGCAAATCAGTCATGCCTCCACAGCCTTTCAAGGACTTTCTGGCTGGTGGTGGACTTTTTTTAAATTCAAGGTGTCTGATATAGGAGGACAACTGTGTACCAGCCCAGCAAATGTTGTGTTTCTATCATTTGAAATGGTGGGTATGCTCTGGGGTGTGAAGAAAAGCATATCTGCAAAAGAGAGGCTGAGAAAGCATTAACATTTCTGTAGTATTTTTGGTCAGAAGACAGGAACTGGAACTGACCTGAAGTCATGACTTGCCAGCACATCTGGTGGTGTGTCTCAGTAAAGCCCTGTGTGGACCCAGGGAGTCTTTCAGCAGAGCTCTGAGTTAAAAGGCTGGCTGCTATGTGCTCCCAGAGAGACACGTGCATAATCCCAGCTAGGAGTTTCACCTCTCAGCTTTATCCTTTAGGCATCCTGCAGACATCTTCTCACCCTGATGCAGGGCTGCCTCTACAGCTAAGTGTGGGCTCCATAATCTCCAAGAATTACATCTTGATTCTCCAAGAACCAGGGTCAGCCCTTGATCACAAGACTTGGGAAGTCACTAAAAATATGTGAACAATTTAACCTGGCAATTTCCTCCATTTGTGTATACAAACCCAATAAATTGCCTGCAAAAGATTCAGCAGGGAAATCTAAGTCATCTGAATGTCAGTAAATTCTTACTAATTTAATTCTTAGCAAATTTAATCTCTCTAAAGTTGTGTTATTCAGTGAAACTCCTAAAGAGGCACAGACCCTTTCAACTGCCTAAAAAGTCCTGCTGATTATTAGAATTTCAGAATTTTCCTGAGCTTGTTTATAGGAGAAGGAGGGACTGGGGTTCCTTCCCAATTACAATTAAAATTTTCTAATGACTGCAAAAGTAATTTACTGCTTATGGCTTCTGCTTTCCTTCTGTCTCACACAGTCCCAAGCTGGAAGAGTCTAGTAATTTATCGTTTCATGTGTTCACTTTAATAATCTGGTATTTTAAATCTGTGACACAGAAGAAGTGAATCAGCTTGAGGGAATATTAACAAGGTTGAGAAATGGTTTTGCTTCAGCTACTGGTTCCAGGTGCTTCACCCATGCTTAAAATGCCAGTGCAATGCATTATCTGACATCCTTGCAACCACAGCTTTAAGGTGAAAATCTGATAATTAGGCTAAAACTTAACCTGACACTGCCCCAAGTTTAAAGCAGCACAAAGGAGAGGTTAACCTCTAGGTATAGACTATAAGCATAAGAGGTCAGTGATCGGATGGGGTTTTTTCTCTAAGAAAACTCATGTTGCACAAAGCACAGTAATAAAAAATTCAAAAACCCAGCTCAGAATACTGCCAGGATTTAGATTCAGCTTTCTGGCAGATTACAAAAAAGTGGCTAATACAGTGGGATGGTCTGTCCACATGAAGACCCAGAGGAAAGGGAGAGATGCATATTATAAAAGAGACAAAGCCAACTCAACCCCTGCCATCAACAAAGTCAACCAGCTTCTCACCGTCCCTCGTACCTGATTGTAAATCAGAGCGAGACCACAAGGGGGGAGCATAACCCAAGGGTTCACGTTTCTTGTCAAAATCTGAGATCGCTGCACACAACAGCTAAAGAAGGACACAATGCATTTATAATTGTAACACCATATGATCAAGCACTGGGCATAATCCAGTCTTAAATTAACAATGAGATGGTACCACTAATTAATACTCTTAGCTTCTACTCTTGCTTTGTAATAGCCTACACATTCTCAGTTGCAATATGGGGAGAAGAGCAGGATTTCTCTCCCTTACACGTACGCAAATTATCATTCTTCCCATTTTTCTAGGCAGGGAAACTAAGGCAGAGTGTGGTAGGATGCTTTGCGCCAAGATGAAACAGGGAATAGATCTTACTCCCTCTCCCTTAGGCTTTTAGAGGGCTTGAGCAAAAACTGGGACTACATGAGGTATTAGCAATAAAAGTTGAGACACTCCCTAATCTCTCAAAATCTTCAGAACAAACTTTCCCACACCTTTTACCCCTTTCATCTGTAAGGCGCTCAGTCTGATGGCCTGTACAGGGCAACCTAGCTTCATCTCCAGCAGCCCTGTGTGTGAAAAGCTTGCTCCACAGTCTTTCAGAAAACATCTTCAGAAAGTAGATAATCACAGCTTCTCCACTGGTACATTGACATTCTTTCCTAGGCTATACTTCTAAGATTAACTGTCTAAACAATGTTTTTTATTAAAAAAAAACCAAAAAACCAAAAAAACAACAAAAAAAAACCCCAGCATCTTTCTTACAGAGGCCTTCCTTCTGCACAAAACAGTGTCTCTAGAGCCTTTAACCCAACAGAGCAGTCTGCAAGCCATGGAGAATGTTAACTAGCTGGCCTGAAAGAGGTGGTAACTGCCTGGGTGATGGGCAGTCCCCTGGTTTGGAAGGTCAGCAGGAATCTGGTTTGCTCTTCTGCATGACACAGGCCAAAGAAACTCCCTCAGCAGTTTCTACCCCAGACCCAGAGTTACAGCATACCTTACACAAAGGAATTCATTGCATGGGGAAAGGTTGGGCTTGAAGAGCCTCCTACTTCTCCCTCCCGTTCTAGAGAGCATGATCCATTTGTTAAATATCCTCATGTTGCATTTCTAGTCAGGAGTCATCCAGCTTTTCCAGCCTTTAAATCATACCCTGATTCCTTTCTGCTATCACACACTTCTCCCCCTGCACAGGTTTGCAGACCGTGATCAGATCAGCTTTTAACCTTCTCCTGGAGTTTTGTTTCACAAGCCCTGTGTCAGCCTCTGGGAATCTTTTCTGAATTTCTGAACTACTGAGAAGTGACTTTTACAGTTTTCTCAAGGGTTTTATAGATGGGTTTGGAAAGGACAATTTCTTGGTTTCTCAGTTGTAAATGTTGTTAGCACTGAGGTCAACAGCAAAATTAAGCTGTACATTCTCTGGCTCTGTTGCTTGATGATCTCTAGACAAGAACCCAGTACAAGAAAGGCATCCTTCCATCAGCTCCAGGCTCAGACCCACATCTTCAACTGGATATTTGAGGAGCTTGGGGTTTGGAAATATATACTGATTTTTCCAGCATTTTTTTAAGATCTAATGAAAATAGAAACGTTTAAATTTTCTATTGCTGGCTTTTCCCTTCCTACTTTGTCCTGTAGCATCTGGTGTTAAACAGAAACAAAGCACTTGAGTGAGCCAGCAAACACCCCACATCGTATTTCCTCCTTGTCCATCCTTCTAGCAAATGCTTCCTCCTCTAATGCAGACAGCCTTTTATCTTCCTCAGCTTGGACCACTGACCATCCCCCTCATAGGGCATCCTGAATGATGGGGTGAGTCTGCCCTCCACAATAGAGTCCCAACACTGAAGGTTTTTTGGCACACAGACAGCCCAGTTCACAAAACTGACATGGAAAGGAGCCAAACAGCTAATACTACATTTTATATACTGCAGTTAATATGCACCACTTCTCATCTGTCATCACCCCACAGAACAGACCACCTATGGCTACATAGCCTATGGCTACTTCAAGTAGAAGTTAAATCAGGAATGAATGGGCAGTATTTTTCAGAAAATAAGAATAAGATGCAATGAAACAATCAGTCTGAAAGCAATCATGGGAAGATACTTTCTCACTCAGCACATAATTAAATCATTGACCTCTTTGCCATAGGATATTATAGGGGCCAAAATATAAACGGTTTTAAGATGCACATGACTAATCTGTGCAGGGAAGAATCACTAGCGGCTGTTCCTGAGTTCTTGGATGCAGTGCTTCGCTCAGACAAGCCCTTTAAACCACTGCTTGCAGGAGGCTGGAAGTGGCTGCCTGGGTCACAGTCACCCTCACCCCCAGTTCCCTGAACACCTTCCGCCGGGGCTGGAGGCACCATTCCCAGTGAGACAGGTTATTGGTCTTGTCACATAATGTTGTTCTGTCCTTGCTTCTCTTTTGCTGTCATCCAGAGTTCCCTCCCTTGGGTCTCCATATGCTGAACCGCAGCCTCTTCTTCATTCTGGGCTGCAGGCACAGACACAACTGGCTGCTGCTCACACATGAGATCCTGGTTTGGCCACAAGACCATTGCTTCCCACCGCACAGCAAGGCTTATTGCAGACGAGGGTGGGGGATGGGGGGGGAGGCTTTCGCTGGCTGCCTGTATGCAGTGCTGGTTGTTTGGTTCAAAGGGGTGAAGGAGTTTTCCCCTCTCAGCATTTGTCTAAAAAAAAAATAAAAAATTGAAAGGTGTTCTTGGGATTTGGCTCAAAACTAAGAAGTAGAAGATAAGAAAATCATCTTGCCTCCAATTTCCTGCATAATGTGAATTGTATGCTACCTAAGAAGATAACATTTCCTTCCTACTAGTTGCTGGTTTGGTCTTTCAGACTCTAAGCTGCTCAGTGTATGATGCTTTCAAAATAGAGCATCGGAGTAATTGCAAAACACATTTGTTATATCAACATATAAATGTCACCTGCCAAAAACTCAAGGCAAGACCTGCCATACTAAGTGCAAAGGCCTAAGTTAAGATGTATTTCAATGTATTTACATTCCTCCCATTCCAAAAGCATCTGCATACCTTGAACACAGTCACTATGAACAATTAATAAATTCCTATTGCCTCATCTGGCAGTTCTTCCATGTGTGTGCAGGTTTCCCAACAGAGAAAGATTGGCTATTTATCAGCTTTATAGCTAACAGGGCTTAAAGGCTAGGACTAGAAATTGATGATGTGTTATTCTCATGTTGGAATAGCCTCTCCAAAGGGGAAAGTTTTTAGCCTTTCCTAATTATGGTCAGATTCATCAGCTCTTCTCTGGAAATTTATCCCATGGATACTGTGCCTTCAATGTGAAATAAAAAGAAATTAGTAGAATAAAACCCTGTGATTTACTTTCTGAGAATGTACAGTTGCACTTACTGCATTGAGAGAATTGTACCGTGATGCTTTATTTTCTGTTTTTTTTGGAAGGGGATGGAGGTGAAAAAGGAGATAGAGGAGAAGTGGGCAAACAAGGAAAGGTCGGACCAAAAGGACCAAAAGGTATTTACAACAGTTTGTTGGCTATTACTTGTATAAAAATATTATATACAACTGTACTGGTGCATACGATCAGTGATGTTTAATGCTTTTCATTCCTCTTGCATCAGTGGATTTCACAATCCTGTCAAACATTTATCAGTGAACCTAACAATACTCAGAGATCATGGTGCAATTCCTACTGATATGTAAGACAGCTGTATATGGCAATAAATTTAAAGAGTCATGTAATAAACCACTATATTTAGTGCTCCTCTGCCAAGTGGCTGTCATGAGTGTGGTACAGAAGGCCAAGATCATACATATAATCATTACTGTTATCTTAGTGAAATGATCCTTTAGTTGAAACTGAATTTTGAGAGTTAATTCCTAATAATACATCAGGATGCACAACAAAACTTGGTCTCTGTTGTCCCTATTTTGCAGAAAAGCAAATGGAAGCATACACTGAGAAACAAAGTTCGTCTGCTCAAATAGCATCTGAGCTGAGAACAAGGAGTTACAGATGTCTTAGGACTTGGCTCTATTAAACATATCCCATATCCACAGTGTGAGCGGGGCAGAGCATCCAGAAGCACCAGATGTGATGGTGTCAGCCTTGTCTGCATGCTCTAATTCAAAAGCTTAAATTATCATTAGAATTTAATGACAATACATATCCATGATCTTTCTTCTTCAACAGTGGTTTAATCAGGAAAGTTTTTACTTTTACAGAAACTTTAAAATCATACTGTTATTATTGTTATAATAAAAAAAAAATTCATTTTTAAATGCATTCATATGACTTTTTCCTTCTTACCTTAACAACACCAGGTAGGATACAAGGGAATTGGGTAACCAACCATTTACAAAGCATCTTAGCAATGTTAAATTCACTGTGCGAACTGAGAGTCCCTAAATTGGGCTGTCACCATTTGCCAGCTATTTTAGAACTGAAACTATTCATCAATTAAAAAGGCATCCATTATTTTGGTGCTCTGAGGGCTGGGAAAGCACGTACAGCAAAATTAGTAGCTCCCTATTTGCAGTCCTGCTTTGAGAAGCATTCCCAGCAAAGTTGGACTTCACCTCAAGAAAGAAGGAAAGACTTTTGTCTGGGGTGGAGAAAAAACCCCAAACAACCTGCTGTCAGCCTGGTTTAGCTGTGAAGAAAAATCAGTATTTGAATATTCACTAACAGTTCCAGTTTGTATTTTCTGTGAGAAAACACACCATTTCTGGGCATATGAACAGGCAGTTCTACTAAGGTGCCTTGCAATGTCCTACTGTTGTATCCTACAGTAGCAGAGACCTGCACTGTTCTCCAACTATCCTTGGGGTTCCACTCATTTGCCACAATGTGGACTGGCCATGCTCAGGAAAAATAGCAGCAGTAGAGACCTAATTAGTGCCTTGGGAAAGAAATGACAGAAAACATCTATACTATTTTCCTTTTTATCTCTTCTCTTAGGAAACAAGGGACATGTGGGGGATGTTGGTGACCAGGGAATGCTTGGGAAAATTGGTCCAATTGGTGGAAAGGGTAAGCTCTAGTCTGGGAACCTTCCTGTTTTTCCCTTAAGGTAAATATGTGTTTTGTGAGAGTTCCAGGTATGGAGTAATATCAAATAACAGCTGTGATCAATGCTCTCCAAATAAAGTAATGCATAAAGATTGGTGACAAGAGCTAACTGACATATTCTTGTTTTATTTCCTATGTGCAGTATATCCAACTTACTTGGCTAAAATAATTTGCTTTATGAGTTAAGAAATCAATCCCCTTTGATAGTAAAAGAGAGAAATCCAGCCCTTCTGAAGTAAATCCTCCGAATGCTCTAAAAGAGAAAGCCAAATTTGTGCCTCTGCTTTGAATGGTAAAGGCCTAGGTCAATGTTCTGCTGCTGCTAAGGATGCCACACATTGTCACCTGCACTGCTGTGGGGCATGTGAGCAAGCAATGCACAGGACAGCTCAGTAAGGAAAGGATTTTAGGAGTTTTAAGAAAACACTCACATAACCAGGGATGATAACTACTTGCAAATCAAGGTAGACTCCAAGTCTACCTGGACAATAATGTAATGAAATTATGATCTAGTCATCTGAGAAGAGACTTAGGCATTCCTTTCCAGTATTCCTAAAGAGCTACTTAAGATGGAATATTACTTCTGCCATAAGGAGACCTGCCCTGAAAGCTGAGCCAGGACTCTACCATCCCCAAAGGGATGGATCTCTGTGGTCTCTAACCAGTACATCAATGCAGGCATGGATGCAGGTTACTGGGTGGAACAATCTCCCCGGTGAGCTTCTCACACAAATGTTTTTAATAAGCCTTTGATGGCCTTTAGCCAGACTCAGTATCAGAGAAGAACAAAAGAATTTGGCCTGAGGGAGCAATTTCCAGAAGCACCTAGACAACTGAAAACACAGATAGTTATCTCCTAAGATGTCTTCAATCACCAAAGGAGAGGAGAATTTAAAAATCCCACAAATTGCATATCTTTATCTGTAAGCCAGCCAATGGTCTGAGCTTTTAAATCAAGCTTTCTCTCAACCTGAATGTACAATTTATCGCCACCTTCTAGTTTTTCTCATTTTCTTTCTTTATTTGCAGAAGCTTACTAAGACACTGTTTAAATCTACCATTAAACATACAAGTTCTTAATGAAGCAACTGTGAAATTTCTGCTTGTAAGTGTGCAGTGTCAAGCAATGCTAATTAAAATGAGAGCCAACACCTAATTTCTTTAAAAAACCACAACTGTATAAAGGAAAAACCACATCAAAACAAGGCCATCAACAAGGCAGAGCAAGCATTAGTATTTTTTGACCCCTGAAGGTTTTAATTCACAAAAGAGCTGACACGAATTTCAGATAAAGTCCAGTAGTTCCTGATCCAAATTACAGCTGAGATTCTTTTAAAGCTACATATACAGTAGCACTTTGTATTTGGAGAAGTATTTCTATCATATTTATGATTTACAGAAGGAGAGGAAAGCAGTTTGATCAAAATAAATCACATTTCTATGAACTATATCTGTAATGAAACACTGCTCCTTACTGACCTCATTCGTGCAGGTGCTGACTGCTGCCCACACACATCATCTGTTGCACACATGAATTCAGTGGCTTAGTGCACATCAGCTTCATTTGGTGCCTCATGCCATCATGGAGCTACTGAACCCAGAGAAGAGCTCTATCCTGCAAGGCAATGAGAGAACCCAGGTCTCACTTCTTACAGATTTCTTGAGTGCTTTCAGCCTCTTAGAATCATTTTACAGTTTATATTTAAAGTAAGTGGTACCAGGAACCAGCAGCAGAACAAGATGCCTGTGTTATCAGTAAGTTAGCTATTAAAGGGTTCTCCTTATTTCCATACACCAGAATTAATCATGGTTTGTTTGAAGTGGCACATCTGCCAGTAGAGTACATCAGGGCCTTCTATTAGAAGCACACTGTTAATATATTATTAAACAGGTTTTTCAAATATGTTCCCCTAACATGTTCACTGTCTTAGATCTGAAAATATAATTTCCTCTTTATTCAGGTGACAAAGGAGCCAAAGGCTTATCGGGGGTTTCTGGAAAAAAGGGAAAAGCAGGTATGCTATACGTCTTTCTCTGCAGAATGCTCAAGTCTACTGGGTCTTTGATTTGTCTAGAGTTTCACAAAATGTTGAGGCCCATGGAAAAACATGAGAATAGATGAACAGAAAGAGACTGAAAAAGTTGTGTTAAGCAAAATAAAGGCTTTGTTAGGGACATAACTGATGCCTATGAATATACCAACATACACAAACCATGAAGAGTTACCTAAATTAAGGGCAATCATAAAAATTAACACATAGACAGGCCATTTATTCAGGACATTTATACTAGAAACTAGAAGAAAATTTCTGAATACTAAAGGAATTAAGTCCCTTAAGAGTTTCCTAATAGGAGCATGGGGATGAAAAAATATGTGATTTTAGAGAGAGCATAATCTATTGTCAGATGAATGCAATGCATTTGCTTACAGGATCTGATGACCCAAAAAGTTCTTCTCAGTCCTAATAACCTTAAATGTTTTCCCACCTTGAATGTACAATTCTGTTTATTTTTAAGATATTTCATATGCGATGCCAGTTTGGTTCTTAATGGGAAGCCATCAGAAACTTATTTTCTTCATGAGAATAACAGAGGAACAAACAAAAGCTATAACAAGCCAAATTTCAGTTTACCAGCAAAAATAAAAACGAGACTTCAGTGCTTGAAAGTTATTGATTATTTGACTTGGTGTTGACTATTGCTGCCGTACCACAGCTGCATGCAGCAATTCACTAACACAGTCCTACATACTCACAAAACTCCTTCACTAAAAAGCAGCAGTTTCCCATTTCATGGATGCTGTTGTTTCTATTGGGAAGCTGGAGAACCTGTGCTGTTTATGGATACAAAGGTACACCTTTGGCATTCAGATGCAACACTGTAGTGATCACCATGATAAGCCACATCGCTGCAGCTAGATGTAATCAGTAATGAGATATGGGTGGAAAGAAGATGGCAAACTCTTCTATCCGCATTTTAAAAGTAGGGGTTCTTAAGCCAATTAGCAAGGGAGAGTACAGAGCCAAAATAATAAGCGCTTTAACCAACAGAAATATGGCCAGTGGGGCAGGGTGAGACTGGCTCTCCACAAGTGGACGCCAGGTCTTCAGAAGGTTTCAAAGTGGTCTATGGACAACCCTCCATGTGCACACACAAATGCTTCTAAACAGATAAATCCTCTATCCTTTGTATTGCATCAGGCACGGTCTGTGACTGTGGAAGATACCGCAGAGTTGTTGGGCAACTGAATATCAATGTTGCTCGTCTTAACACGTCCATCAAGTTTGTAAAGAACGGTAAGGATCCTTATGTATTTGGTGTGATTTATTTGTTTCCTATAACATTTATCATTACTGTTTTTCTGCCATTGCTGCTCTATGGCAGCATCTGTAGATGACCCAGAGAGATGGTCTCACTGTGCAAGGCACTCCAAAAACATACAGAAAAGTGACACTTTTACACCTGTAAGGATATAAGCAGCAGATGACTAAAAGCAAAAACAATACAGGTATTATCAACAGCACAACAGAAAGAATCATGAAAAGCAGAAGGCATGGCTTGCTAACCACCTCTGCACTGTCAGTCTGCTCAGGGTCAGCAGCCACGCAGGCAATGAAAAGAAAAAAGTTTGTGCCAATCTGCTCCAGAGAGGCAGGAAAAGCAGTAGGAACCTCTTGATCTTTCTGTTGTGCAGGAAGGCTGCAGACCTTCTAGTGCTCCCCGCAGTGCAAGCATCATTTTCCTGTTACAAGGGACCAACACTCAAAGACATGGGTTATAAGAAGCCAGGTTTGCAGGCTGTGCTGTCAGGTGGACAGTGCAAACTGCCCCTACTGAAAGGAAAGAAATGCGTTTCCTGGCACAGCAGAGAATTTGAGAAGGCTCCACCACTGCTTCTAGGACTAAGTCTGTATCAGTAAACTAAATGTGTTTGAGACTGTTCTCTGGCAATGAGGACAAGCAGCACAGAACAGCATTCATCTATATTATAAATCCTACAAAACTGAATAACATATTATCAGGAGTATCCCTCTACTAACTTCTAAACTGTGCCAGGGTAATTCATGAATTTTTTGTGAGTGTTAGTTGCCCCAGGCCAAAGCTCTGCTCAGGACCATTCCAGCAATGCATCAGCAGGGACAATCAACTTGTAGCTGCCCAGGCATACTCCTTGGCACTGCTTAATTCACTAGGATATATGCTGGTTGAGAAGTCTGCCTTTTAAAGCTGCTAAGCAGACACAGTTTTCTTCCTAGTCAATGCCACTTAGTGGCTACAGCAGCTCTGAATATCAGGTTGTACTTAAAATATTTTATCTTAGCAGTCCCATTGATTTTCCTCTATATGGAAAGGGCCTGAAAAGCTATCTATACCCCTGCATTTCGATCCTAGGGCACCCTTTCACAAACATGCAAAGTGATAGGGGTGATCCGGAGTTAGACACTGTGATTTGACCATTTAACATGCCTTCATTTGATTAGTACTAGATATCTGTGAAGTGAAACTTAAGTGCCACAGGAGACATATGCCAATCAGGACTGAATAGTTCTTGTCCTAACATGTGCAAGGTGCTTGTCTGTCCCATTAGTAGCATCAGTCTCTGACCACGTCCTCATCATTCATCACAGATTCAGTGGTGGGAATACTTTTCCTCTCTCCCTTTTATTAATTCTAATGTAAAAATAAACTCATTGACATATTGGAACAGAAGCACCTTCAATATCTGTTGTCATGCCATTAAGCAATTTTTTTTTGCCCTTTAAAGTTATAGCAGGTATCAGGGAGACAGATGAGAAATTCTATTACATCGTGAAAGAAGAGAAGAATTACAGAGAAGCTTTCAACCACTGCAGGGACAGAGGAGGAACACTGGCTATGCCAAAAGATGAGGCAACCAATGCCCTGATTGCTGACTACATCTCCAGCAGCGGCCTTTTCCGAGCCTTCATTGGTCTGAATGACATGGAAAAAGAAGGACAGTTTGTGTACGCAGACAACAGCCCACTGCAGAACTACAGTAACTGGAAGGAAGGGGAGCCCCATGACCCAGCTGGCCATGAGGACTGTGTGGAAATGCTCAGCACAGGGGAGTGGAATGACTCTGAGTGCCAAGTCACCATCTACTTCGTCTGTGAATTCCTCAAGAAGAGGAAATAAAAGGGCTGCAGAATGTGCCTGGCACCTGCTGTACATATAATAACTCTTCCTCATTCATCCACTGTAGGGAGAGCAGACAACCAGGGACAGGGCTCAATCCAGCCTTCACCTCACTGGGCTAAGCAAGAGTAACTACTGTTACGATGGCAGTGACCACAAAGTCAGCACAGGTCTGCAGGAGGCATCCAGCCAGTTGTGAATTTTTATTTCATTTCTATGTGCAATTTAGGGTGGGCATTTCAAAGTGTAATTTAGAGGCAAATTTAGAGCAATGCAGGGATGAGTATGATTTCACTAACACCAGAAAAAGTAAACTCACTGGTATATTAATTACTGATGTACTTCACAAAGTCCACTAATGAAAAGATTGTGATCTTTACTCATTGATCTGCACTGAAGTCCCAGTAATTTCCCTGGTGACTTCGGAGCTGGGAGAACAGACCTGCAGTTTCTCTTGAAAAAATCCTTCTTTTGTAAGAATCATAAAGTAATTTAAGTTGAAAGGGATTTCTGGAGGTCATCTGGTTGAATCTTCTATGGAAAGCAGGGCCAACTGCAAACTTACATCAGAAGTTTTTACATTGTCCTTTATTTGGCTGCGCAATTACATTGCCTGATATGCAGAGGAGGACTTGCTTACCTCTGCTTCCAACTCTATTATCCATCATGCTGGTCTGAGGTGTGAAGAATCAGCTTAGTAATGACAACTGCATGCAACCCTGCGCAGCTTGTAGGCAACCTGAGAATAGTTGGAGCAGCTCTGGCCTCTGATGTCCCCCAAAATCTGTGAAAAACAGAGAAGTCTACACAAAGAGAACAGAGCAAAGGAAGGAACACCATTGCTGTAGGCTGTAAACAGGCACATGTAGTAACAGCCATACCAGTGTGCCTTGCTGGTTTAACAAGTCATTCTAGGAACATAACAACTCCCTAATTCAGTAGTCAGTGACGTTTGATGTCTAATGCTAAAATCACCTGTGCCTTTGCCACACAGGAAGCAGCTACAGAACAGGCTTTATCCCCCAAGAACCCAGATACAGGTGTGGTTGAGTGCACTTCATGCACTTCAAGCACCTCATGCACTCATGCACTTCAGCAGGCCTCTCCACAAATGATGAGCAGCAAGTATGAAGGCTTTGCTGTCAGTGCTCAGCTACTCAGATCTCCATGTCAGTATGTCCACAATGGATCACATTTTCATATCTTTGATAATACTGAAGGAGCTCTTTCCTTCAGACACAGCAACACTTTTGGCTTCAGAAGTGAGCCTGCCCTTAGTCATGGTTCATCTTAGAGCAGGAGATGTCAAGAGAAACCCCAGGGCCCCTGCAATGAAGGTCTATAGATTTTCTTTGACACTTGACACTAAAAATGAAGGAATGCTATCTGGGGGCTAAGAAGAATGCTAGACACTAGACACAGCGCAGCAATGTATCCTGCAGGTCACTGAGCACTGGTTGCATGTAGTCTTCCTCTAAGTATACGAATAACTAGACATGCCATCAGCCAGTAATGCAGAGGGTCGGCTCCCAGTCTCCATTCTACTGCTGTGTACAGCACTGCAAAGGCAACTAGACAACAGTCATACTTCCTCAACCTCACCCTCAACAGAAAAATCCTCCAAATCATTTAGCTGGTTGTTTAGCTTGACTCCAGGCTCATCTCTGAGCAATGACCAACACAGGAGCATCTCAGGAGACTCTGTGACTCAGGCCACTCTTGTAATCCAGTTTCTCTGCTACTTGTTCCTCCAGAAAACCACCTGTTATTACCAGCAGTAAATTATCCGTGTGCTACACACCCTCCAGGGAACAATTCGGACCCATGAATGAAGGGGTGGGACCACATTTCTTTTAATTGCTCCACTACTATGCTATGAGAGTATTTGGTCAAACAAGTTCACTTAGCACAACATATCTCATCCTGAATTGTTCCCTTCCTGGGAATTGATATTCCTCAAAATTAAGCAGAATTACACTTTTTAGGATCATTAGTAATAAATTCATTAAGCTAAACACTTTGGTTTTAGAATCATTAATGGGTAATGATAAAGAATTAATGACTAATTCAAGGCAAAGGTTCTTGAGGAAAAGTAATTTTAGAAGTTCAAGCCCAGGTCTGCTAGCCTCACTCACAGCAGGTCAGTGCAGAAGAGGCACAGTAACATCCCTGTGGGTAATCATAGTCACACCTCTCCACACCTCATCTTAACTTCTGAACTAAAAAGTCACCAAAACATGCTTGCCAGACCAAGAGTTCAAATTCTGAGACCCCTGGCTGACAAAATCCAGAGGTGTCCTTAACACTACAAACATCATGGACAGGTCATTTGCCTGTTCTTTAGGAGGAAACTCAGAGCTGGGAAAAGGTGAAAGAGGAGCAATACTTTGCTGCAGGATCAAGCTCTGCCTGAGATTCAACCAAGCACTCTCCTTCATGTACAAAATCAGGGAATACATGTCTAGATTGAAACTCTGGTCTTTTTGAGAAGACTGAGTTATGAGTAATCCTGAAGCATGCTCCATGTACAGGCAGGAATGATTGTTGCAGTCCCTGGCTGCATGGATGAGGGAAGCGAGTGAGGAACTTGTGCTGGTTTCTGCAGTGGAAAGGCTGGAACAGCCCAATTCCTCCATCCTCCTCCTCTCCTAACACACCAGCTTCATCCTTTCTTAAATAGAAAAAAAGAAATAAAACCAATCCTTCTACCCACTATATACTCATGTGACACTGGGCAAAGCTATGCTAGTTGAAACAAGTAGACTTGGGGTGGCTGTTCCTTTGACAGAAGAGGGACAGTAGAGGAGCACACCACAGATGTTCAAGCTAGCCAGGCATAAGTGTGATCAGGTGCCTATGCAACCCATTCCTGCAGCACTAGGTCCCAGTTAATAAATTTTGCCAAGAAGCCTAACTCATAGGCCAAGCCAAATAAAAAAGGCTATCCCACACAGGAAACCTGGCAGGTAGGCCCATACAGCTCTGTTTCATGCCATGCAGACACAAGCTTGAGCCTGCACTAACTCAAATACTATAGCTGTGTTTTGCAGAAAAAAAATATTCTTGTTATAATTAAGAATTTGGGCTATATCACAAGTTTCACTGCTAGCCAAAGGAAATTCACTGTGGTGGGTAAAGTACCTTAGGTTTCTACATGAAGTTGATGGAGCCAGCAGCACAGGAAGTTGTGTCTGACTATTCAGGATTTATGGTCTGTTACAGCTCAGCACCTAAACCATTTTACCCCATCCCAATACTATGTTTTTCCCATGTTTTTCTTTTCATTATTCTCAGTCTGAACCTTTCTTGTTTCGGTTTATGCCCGTTGTTTCCTGCCCACCCACTTAACACTACTGTGAAGAGCCTGGCTTTGTCTTCTTTGAAGACCCCCTAGTAGGTTCTGGCAGGCTGCTATGAGGCAGGAGGTAGGTCTTGGCAGGAGGCTATGAAGCCACCTCTTCTCCAGGCTGAACAAATCAAGTTCCCTTAGCTCCCCCTCACATAGCTCCAGCTCCAACCATCTTGGGGGCCCTGAGTTGAACTTGGCTCCAATTTTTCAATGCCTTTCCTGTACTGGGGGGGCTCAAAAGCACACAGTGTCTAACTGTGGTCTAACAGGTGCTGGGTGGGAAGATAATCCCTTCCCTCAAACTCCTGGCTTTGGTTCCTCTAGCACAGTCAGGATGCTGTTAGCCTTCTCTGCTGCCAGGGCAGACTGCTGATGCACAGGCAGTGTGCTGTCTGCCAGGACTTCCCAGGGCCTTCACAGTAAAGCCAGTCAGCTCCAGCCTGCATCAGTGCAAGGACTTGGTATTCCCAGATGAAGGAAATGTGCACTTGTCCTTGCTGAATTTCATGAGATTCCTGTTGGCCCATTCCTCCAGCCTGCCTCTGTCCCTCTGTATGGCAGCCCTGCCTACCAGCGTATCCACTATTCCCTCCAATTTGGTGTCATCTGCAAACCTGATGAAAGTGGAATTCATCACCTCCTCCAGGTAACTGATAAAGATGATAAACTGGACAGTCCCAGTATATAGACACCTGTAGCACTCTTTGACTCTGTGTAGAGTACAACCCATTAACCACTCTCCTCTGAGCCCCGTCCAACCAATTCTTACCCATCTGGATGGTTGTCCACCCATCCAGACCATAACACCCTAATTCAGATGAAAGAATGTTATTGGAGATAGTGTCAAAAGCCTTGCTAAAGTTGAGATAAGTGATATTCATTGCTCTCGCCTCATCCACAAATCCAATCATTTTATCATAGAACACAATCAGGCTGGTCAGTCATGATCCACCCATGGTAGATACATGCTAAACATTCCCAATCAGCTTCTCATCCTTCATATGCCCAGAAATGTGCTCCAAGAGGACTTGCACCATTAAGTTCCATGGGTACAGAAGTGATGCTGATCAGTTTACAGTTCCCTAGATTGTCTTTTTGGCCTTTTTGCATTCACCTATTTCCAGTCATTAGGAACCTTCCATGATCTCCATAACCTTTCAAAGGTGGTAGAGTGCCCTTGCAGAGACATCAACCACTTCTCTCAACACCCTGGATATGCTCTGTCTGGTCCCACGGAGCTTTGCAGTTGAATTCTCTCAAGTAATCCCTGGCTCAACCCTCAGATACTATTGGTGGATCTCTTTGAACCCTTGCCCTAAGCACAGAGGAATGTGATAGCTTGTTGTTAAAGAAACCACTGAATACCTCAGCTTCACATGTGTCTGCTGTCACTCCATCACTTCCTCCATTCAGCAACAGTCCCACATTTTCCTTGCAGAGTCTTCTTCTTATGCTTCCTAGTCTCAACTGCATTTAAGCTTTGGATTTCCTGAGGCTACCTCTACGTACTCAGGCAATGTTTCTAAATTCTTCCACTGTAGCCTGTCTCTGATACCATCTCCTCTATACTGCCTTTTTGCATTGGAGCTCCATCACGCTCCCCACTTAGCCACACTAGTCTACTAGTATAGCTGCTTGTAGATGCACAGTGAACACAAGACAGCTGCCCAAGATCTTGCTGATTCATAGCAGGAGTACTACAGTGTTCTTCCTGTGCTTGGGGAGCCATGATTTTATGATTTATATTCTCAAGATTGTCATCTCACTCAGGGCAAACATTAACTCCTGTTCTCCCCAGGTCCAGAATGCACATAAGATGTGGATAACCATGGTAAAGATAATGTTTTTAAAAATGTATCTAATGAAAATGTTCACAGAATCAATATATCCCATTAAGAATATATTTTCCTCAAACTTTCAAACAATCTCACATGGATATTAAGCAGATCCACTTCTTTCACTGCCTTTAAAATGTTCAATCACTTTAAAAAAAAAAAAAAGGCACCTAGAACAGTGGAATGCCACATTCTTGACCACAGTCACATCTGTTGGAGGGACAACACAGTGGAGCATAAGCACTGCAGGAGGTTCTTGGAATGCACTGATGATAAATGCCTTCTCCAAGTGATAGAGACAACAAGGAGAGGTGCTATGCTGGACCTTGTTCTCACCAACAATGAGGGGCAGGTGAAGGTCAAGGGTACCTTGGCTGCAGTGACCATGAAATGGTGGAGTTCAAGATCCTTAGGGCAGCGAGAAGGGCACACACAAAACTTGCTGCCCTGGACTTGAGAAGAGCAGACAATGGCCTCTTCAGGGATATGCCTGGCAGAGTAGCATGAGATAAAGCCATGGAGGAAAGAGGGGCCCAAGAAAGCTGGTTAATATTCAAGGATCACCTCCTCCAAGTTCAGGAGTGATGCATCCTGACAAAGAGGAAGCCAGGCAAAAACACCAGGAGGACTGCATGGATGAACAAGGAGCATCTGGATAAGCTCAAACATAAAAAGGAAGCCTACAGAGGTGGAAACAAGGACGGGTAGCCTGGGAGTAACAGGGAAACTGTCCAAGCATCCAGGGATCAGGTTAGGAAGGCCAAAGCCCTCATAGAATTAAATTTGGCTAGGGACATCAAGGGCATCAAGAAACACTTCTATAGGTACACTGGTGATAAAAGGAAGACCAGGAAAAATGTGGGCCCTCTCCGGAAGGAAATGGGACACCTGGTTACCAAGGATACAGAGAAGGCTGAGGTCAACAACTTTTTCCCTCAGTCTTCACCAGCAAGTGCTCCAGACACACTAGGCAGAAGGCAGAGGTGGGGATTGGGAGAATGAAGAACCACCTACTGTAGGAGATCAAGTTTGAGACCATCTAAGGAACCTGAAGGTGCATAAGTCTGTGGGACCTGATGAGATGTAGTCACAGGTCCTGAGGGAACTGGTGGATGAAGTGGCTAAGCCACTATCCATCATATTTGAGAAGTCGTGGCAGTCCAGTGAAGTTCCCTCTGACTGCAAAAGGGGAAATGTAACCCCCATTTTTAAAAAGGGAAAAAAAGAAGATCCAGGGAACTACAGGCTGGTCAGTCTCACCTCTGTGCCTGGCAAGATCATGGAGTGGATTCTCCTGGAAAGTATGATAGGGTACATGGAACATATGGAGATGATTTGTGACAGCCAACATGGCATCACTAAGGGCAAATCATACCTGACAAATCTGGTGGCCTTCTATGACTGGGTTACAGCACCGACAGATAAGGGAAAAGCAACTGATGTCATCTACCTGGACCTCTGCAAAGCATCTGACACTACCCCGCACGACATCCTTGTCTCTAAATTGGAGAGACATGGATTTGATGGATGAACCACTCAGTGGATAAGGAATTGGCTGGATGGTCGCACTCAGAGTTGCAGTCAACGGCTCCATGCCCAAGTGGAGGGGGGTGACCAGTGGCGTTCCTCAGGGGTCGGTGTTGGGGCCAGTGCTGTTTAACATCTTTGCTGGTGACATGGACAGAGGGATTGAGTGCACCCTCAGCAAGTTTGCTGAGGACACCAAGCTGTGTGGTGCCATTGACACGCTGGAGGGAAGGGATGTGCCATCCAGAGGGACCTGGACAGGCTGGAGAGGTGGGGCTGTGCAAACCTCATGGAGTTCAACCAGGCCAAGCGCAAGGTCCTGCACATGGGTCAAGGCAGTCCCAAACACAAATACAGGCTGGGCAGTGAGTGGATTGAGAGCAGCCCTGTGGAGAAGGACCTGGGAGTACCAGTGGATGGAAAATTGACTATGACCCAGCAATGTGCTCTCACAGCCCAGAAAGCCAACTGTATCCTGGGCTGCATCAAGAGCAGTGTGACCAGCAGATCGAGGGAGGGATTCTGCCCCTTTACTTCACTTTCCTGAGACCCCACCTGCAGTGCTATGACCAGCACTGGGGCCCCCAACACAAGGAGGACATGGATCTCCTCACGTGGGTCCAGAGGAGGCCACAAAGATGATCATGGAGCTGGAGCACCTCCCCTATGAGGACAATCTTAGAGAGTTAGGGGTGTTCAGCCTGGAGAAGAGAAGGCTCCAGGGAGACCTTACAGCAGCCTTCCATTACTTAAAGGGGGCTACAGGAAAGATGGGGAGGGACTCTTTATCAAGGAGTGTAGGGATAGGACAAGAGGTTGGTTTTAAACTGCAAGAGGGTAGATTTATATCAGATATAAGGAAGAAATTCTTTAATGTGAGGGTGGTGAGACGCTGGCACAGGTTGCCCAGAGAAGTTGTGGATGACCCCTCCCTGGAAGTGTTCAAAGCCAGGTTGGATGGGGATTTGATCAGGGGCAACCTGGTCTAGTGGAAGGTGTCCCTGCTCATGGCAGGGGGCTTGGAACTAGATGATCTTTAAGATCCCTCCCAACCCAACCCACTCCATGATTCTGTGATTATATGTATATGCAGGCATCTCTGTTTAGTTTCACATACAGTCTTAAATAGTACATTGTAGTTGTAGTTCAACTGGCTGAAACGGATATTAAGAGATGTAAATTGACAGTGTGTATGATGATAAAAATAGTGAATGTGTCACATGTATGGCGATGGTTATTTGGAAAGCATTGCTTTTGATAGTCTTGTTTTAATATGTTTGCATAGGTACAAAATGCATGAATTGTCATTTCATTTTTTCCTCTCTTTTCTCTTATTTATTAAAGTCATAAATAACTTACTCAACATGTGTAAGAAAGAATGAGCAAGATCAAAGCAATAGCTTAATCTGGGTTGCTTTTATGTTTGTGTGGTAAGGGAGAACAGCAAATGCTAGAAGAATTCTTTTCCTACTTGCTGCATGCAGCATACCCAACTGCAGCCCCTGGGCCCCACCCACACCTGGCCTGGAAAGGTTTCTCCATGCAGATGTTTCAACACAGGGAGGAAAAGTTTCACTTTGTTTTCATTAGGTGGGTGGGACCAGAAACTTGCATCGCCTTGTTTTGCAGTCAGTGGTAGCAGCCCACCAAAGCATAGTTGCTAATTACACAAAACTCTCTGTGGCCAGACAGCGTGTGTGATCATGGGCATTTCTGAGTTCTGAATTCCTAAAACCCTTAATCTCCTCAATGCTATACCTAAGCTTAAATCCCATGGCAAACCTGTGTCTAATCAAGTGCAAATCTACAGATTTTGGAGCAGTAAAGGGGCTATGGCTCCTCACTGGTATGATGCAGTACAGCATGGGAGCATCTGCAGAGCCATGACCTTCTCATACAACACAATTTCATTATATATCTTCCCTTCTAATGCATTTGTCTTTGTTTAAGTATTTTACAAAAAAAGCATAACTTTTAAAAGTAGCCAGATGCCAATTATTACTTTGGTCTTGTTGTTGCAAGCATAGTTCAATGCTTAAGAGTACAACAAATATAAGTAATGTCTTTTTGGAAACAGATTTCAGTCATGAATTCCCTGTTAATTTTTCCCCTTACTAAATGTTTCAAGCACTCACTATCTTACTAACTTCTCAGCAATGAATTGTCTAGCAAGAAATGCTAATTTTCCCAACTTCATATAATAGAAGTCTTTATATTAGTTTCCCCACAACATTCCCTGAGCATGTGAGGCACTCTACCATGTGGAGGGTGGAAGGAGCAACAATGATGATCAGTCAGTAGAAGATTAAGTAGAACTGTGCAGAAAAATGTAAATACAGAGTTGGCGGATGCTTAACATGTGAACTGAGGAATTTATTTCCCACTGTGAGCCAGTTTCTAGGTCTTGAAAATGCTTTAAAACTTGTCAGAGGAAATCTAAAAGGTGGTCAGTAGATCCAAATCGCAATTCAATAGCTCAGGATCCCAGAGCTTTCTGCAAGTTCACACATGCAAAAGAGAGCTTTCTCAGGTCCTGGAAAAGCAGAAATAAATTTTCTTCAAAACCAAGGACAATTACAAGCCTTTCCTTGTGAAAGGCACACTTTTTCCACTCCTGCTTTCTCAGATATGAACATTTTCCAGTTTAGGCACATACCAGTGGACCCATTAAAAGTTTAAGCAAGGAATGTACATGACTGCACTGCACTGTTTTCCCCCTGAACAGGATAGTGCGTGACAGATGGCAGTGACCATGAATGCCATGCCACTAAAAGACTCTTGTAAAAGAGAAAATAAAATACTACTACTACTACTAATAATAATAATAATAACAACAACAACAATAGAACAACCCTACAACAAAACTATCCAAATATCCATGAGAGTCTGGGAAGCAGAGGAGGGAAGGTTATGGAATAAAGATAGGTATCCTTGCTTATCCTCCTCAGTTGTTCTAATTACATATAGCTCATTAACTTCCGAGGATTCAGGCTGTGGTTCCTCCCAACACACAAGGATCTGATTCATATCTTAGAGATCTAACACTACATATGCTATCATCTGTCCCTATATACATCCCCTTTTGATTGTTGCAGACAGGCAATTTTCTCTGCATATGATGAAGGGGAAGGGTATTAGCCAGATCCTGTTCCAATGGAGGTGAGGCTTACCAGAAGAGCTGGAAATAAGGGGTGCTGCTTGTATGGTCAGCAAAAGATAGGAAGTAGAGGAGATCTGGAAAACGTTGAAGAGAGTCACTCAGAAGCAGAGGCCTGCATTGGTCCATCCAGAAGACCAATTCTGGGAGAAGGAGCTGGAGAAAGCCCTGTAGGAACACAACACAACCACACTGAGAAAGTGGGGGGTGTTTTTTTGCTAGTAAGGTTAGCAAAAACCTGAAAATAAGGTTTCTTCTTCTTCTAGAGAAGGTTTCTTCTTCTAGAGAAGAGCCAGACTGGGACATGCAAAGATGTTCCTGGAAGGAGAGAGGTGGTTTAGGTTTGAGGTAAAGTGTGCCATTCAGTATTGGGCATCCAAAATGTGCATAGATGTGGATTCCACTGATCGCCTGAACAACTGCTTCTGTGGGGCTGGAAGGACTCTCAGCAGAAAACAATCAGTCTAGTGTGGGGGAACTGGAGAGAGC